CGGCTTTATATGTACTTCCCGTTGTGCCCCTCCCTAGGGTCTCTGCCGAGGCCCTCAATAAGTCCTCCAGCCTGTAATTCATCTGCTGATCCCCTGGTCCGCAGAACACCAGTGTCCCTGCACCTCCACCTCCCTGATTGCCGTCCCACGAAAATGACCCTTCTTTTCTCCCGTTATTACCTCCCATGCCACTGGTCCCAGATTCATCCCCACCCGCCGCCGCCGCCGCCGCCGCGGAGGTTCCTTTGCTCCGCACTTCGCCGCCGTTTCTTCTCCGTCTTCTTATCAGACAGGCGGTCAGGGTAGCCAGGAGCAAGAGAAAAACTCCGCCGGCAACCGGGAATACTATCAGGAACAGTTTCCGGTTCCTTTCCCGGCGGCTGGGTTTGGTTCCGGGGCTTGCGGGGTTCGGGCATTCTTTGTGTAATTGCACGCCGCAGAGTTCGGGGTTACCGGAGAATGCGGATTCGTTGAATGCCGCCAGGGCCGGAGTGGTTGGAATTCTGCCGGAGAGCCGGTTGTTGGAGACGTTGAGGAATCTCAGGGTTGTTTGGTTAAATGCCGGGATTTCTCCGGCGAACTGGTTGTCCTGGAGGTAGATGGCGTAGAGCCGCGGGAGGCGGAGTAGCGACGGCGGGATTTCGCCGGAGAGCGAGTTTCCGGAGAGGGCGATGATCTTGAGGCGGTGGAGGAGGGCGAGGCTCGCCGGGAATCCGCCGGAGAAGTTATTGTTGCTGAGATAGAGAGATTTGAGGTTGGGGAGGGCGGCGAGGGAGGGGATTTCGCCGGAGAGGGAATTGTCCTTGAAGCTCAGCACCCGGAGCTGATCCAGCCGCCCCAGACTCCGTTCATCCACCGCGCCGCTCAAGTTCCGCCCCTCCACCACCAGCTTCGTCACCCTCCCATTCATGCACTCCTTCACGCCTCGCCACCGGCAAACACTCCCGGCGCCACTACCCACCCAGTCAGCCAGCGAGTTCCCCGGGTCAAACCCAGATTTCAGCGCCAGAAGAGCGTCGGCGTCGCCGGACCTCGCCGCCGGGAAATCAAGAACCCCCAACACAGTCAAGAACAGCAACCCCACATTGCCAAAACGTCCCATTTTCGAGCCCAAAAAGGAAACAACAACAAAAAAAGAAAATCTCAAACCATTTCAGAGCAAAAGATCGATCCAAGAAACAAAGAAAAGATTCACACACAAAAAAAAAATCAGCTTTTTATGAAGCTAATGGAGAATAATCAGGTCAAAAAATGGAATCTCCAGATCTAATCTAAGAAGAATAGGCGAATATGACGGGGCGGTGCATCCCATTCCGGGCCAGAAAAACCCGATTTGTCACTGTAAAGGAAAGTTATTTATATTTGCTTTGACCATTTTTGAAAAAAAAAAGAAAACCTGAAAGAAGAACAGAGAAAAGGCATTGACATAAATTTGGATGGGGAGGGGGAAGCTCACTCAGTCACTCACTCACTCTATGGTGGAAGGGGAAGTTAAACACCAAAATGACAACTACAAGTCTTTGTCGGACACCACACAAATGTGCAGAAATGTAATGTAGCCATTGACACGTACTGGATTGGTGATACATGTGTGTACGGTTGACATTGGTCATTAATAGGGGTTCGGTATGGTACTGTATTTTGTCCGTACCAATACCGTACCAACTATATCGGTATGAGATTTTACATCGTATCGATCCCGATTTCGAAATATCAGTTCGATATGGTTCGGGATGGTTCGGTTTCGGTAAATATTGGGACGAATATATATACATACCTAGTTTATACTTTGGAATGTACAAAATTTTTTATTTAAAAAAATTTGAAAGTACATTAAAAAAATAAGATAAACAATTGGAAAATGAATAATTAAATGCAAAAATACTTATAAAACTTAGTTGAATTTATACTTCATATTTTACAAACAGAAGAGAATGAATGATAAGAAAATAATATTTCAAATATTTGTTATATAAATCTACAAAAAATAAAATTCAAATAAATGATTATATAAATAAAAGATTATTTGTAATTCATCTACACTTGAACCAACTTTTCAAAATCAATTTATTTTTGAATGAAGAAATATAAAAACATTGTTATTTTTAGAACGTATTTGTATATATGTTCGGTTCGAGATTTTTCGGTATGAGAAGTTACCTCGTACTGATCCCAAATACCAGATTGATCATTCGGTTCGGTATGGTACGGTTCTTTTTCGGTATTTTATCGGTTTGGTATTTTTTAGTTCGGTAATCTCGGGTTTTTCAAGAAATTTTGGTATCGGTTCGGTACGTGCTCACCCCTAGTCATTAGTGGGCGAATTTTAGTCTTCACTTATTCAGCACACAAAAACTAGACTTATGCAAACAAGGGTTGACCCGTCCTACCCGTCAATAATTTTGTCAAAAACGAACGTCAAAAACGGAGATGAATCCATTGTAGACAATCAGACGCTTGTCAAAAACGGACAATCTAAACAAAGTCTCAGATTATAAATAAATGCCTGGAAGACATGAATTGTAGACAATCAAATGCTTGAACCAACATGCGAGCCATTCAATTCGTTGATGGTCTAAACAAAGTCTCATATCATTATCTTACAATCAGAGATATCGTCTTGAATTGCCTTGAACACTGTCTCATTGTCAATTTCAATGCTGAAAATATTATGTCTAATCGATGTCATCGGCCATTTCAAAGCCTTTTAGAGACTTGCTACTTCGACCATCTGCGCGACCTCAAGGTGTCTTAACCCGAAATATGCTTCGTGCTAGAAACTCCCTGAACATCTCAAACCACCACTCCACCCTGTGCAACCCTTGTTTGCATGTTGAAACTCTAATCCACGTTACATTTTAGAACACCTCTGTCACACGCTTTCTACTTGTTCACCCGCTCCCGACTCAGCTTCATCTTTCCGAGTCGTGGGACGTACTGCCTGCATTCATGTAGATCCCGAGCTGCTCTAGTTGCCACCATCTTTGTGCTCATACTTATGTTCTTCCAAACAACTTTGTTATGTTATCGCCACACATCCCAAATTAATCAAATCTCCACTTATGATTAATATAGTATTTTTTAATTTGAATGAAGTATTTACTAATTTTTTTTCTGGTTGCTATAATTCTTTATTATTTATTAATTTTTATTAATAGATAAATACTTTTATTAAATTTATATAAATTTTAAGTAAAAATAATGGATATCATAAAATAGATGGAGAGGTGAGACAAGAAAACAATAATAACATTACAAAAGTTCCAAGACCTTTGTAGAAAAAGAGAAAAATAATACTTCATCTGTCTTTAAAAGATTGCTACAGTTTAACTTTTTGATCAAATTGTAGCACCCTTTGACCGTGAATTATGGAAAAAGTATATTTAGTTATAATGTAAATTTAGTAAAATTGGATTTATTTTAAAATATAGTTTTGAAATATTAAACTTTAATAAAATTTAATTATTTTAAACTATATTTAGTTCATGATTAAATATAGGGGTGTAAACGAATATTAATCAGATCGGATGCGCCATTACCAAATCCATATCTGTTTATTTTTGTCAGATATCGAATTCGGATACGGATTTTGACGGATACTGAAAATCAAAACCGTATCCCCATCCGCCAGATATCGGTCGTATTCGGAAATATCCGTATTCGTTTCCAATTTTTAAAATCAAAATAAACAATAATTTAATTTTAAATTAGATTAAAGTCAAACTATTATTAAATCAACTATAATTTGGTATGGAATAATTATTTTCTTTGTTTTCATGGTTTATGATATTCTACGATAACTTCATATGATAAAAAGATATACACAACACACATATACACATATTTTATATATCTGTAAATATTTTTATGTGTCTACGCATTAATTTTGTATATAAAAATGTCTTATAGTTTGAAATATCAATAGAGAAATAAAATATAAGCATAAAAAATCAGGAAAAATTATATATAACGAATTGGATATTTGGATAAACGATTATTTAAACGGATGCATATTCGGATCAGATTTTAAACGGATCGGATATACAATTACCAAATTCGTATCCGTTTAGTAATCGGATATCTTTAATCGAATACGGATAATATTCGTTTAAAACGGATGCAGATATTTTCTCTTTAAACGGATTCGAATCCGGATGGTAATCAAATTTTCGAATATTCATTGACAGCCCTAGTTAAATAAGACCAATACAAAACAAAAATTCGCGATATTGTAAAGGATTTAAAGGCCTTAAAGCCATTAAATGTGAGGCAGAGGGGAAGATACATAAACGGAGCACTAATTGATGACATGCGTGGGGGCGTGTTTGGTTGTTTAATACCTCTCACACTTTCTTTGTGTGCTTTAAATCCTTTTTACCCATAGGATATGATAAAATTGGAGCTAGCAAATAAGAGCCATCCTCAACTATTTGTGTTTGTCTCCATTACAAATTAAGACATTGTTTGAAAACAACGTTTTTGATTAGCGTTAGTATTTTATTATTTACATAATCAAATCTTATTCACTTTTTTAAAACGCTAATGTCAAACGGAGCCTAAGTTACATATTTTATTATTTACATAATCAAATCTTATTCACTTTCTTTTTCTATTTTTGTTATTTATTTCAAAAAAAATATAGTCATCTCACTTTATACTCATTTTGTAAAACTTTTAAATGTTCAAGAAAATGTATATTGGGCTTCGAATTTGGATAATGGCGTTTGATATGTTGTTGGTCTGGCCCATAACATTTGGGCTCAAAGTTGTTTGTTCAAACCTCACGGGAAGAAGAGTATACCGTTGAAGCGTCTTCTTCATCCATTTCTGCTCGGGACCGCCACCGTCGCCGGAGGATGAGCAGGCGAAATGCTCTCCCTCATCTACTGCTCCTCCGCTCTTACTCCAAGAAACTGCCTCCGCCGCCATCGCCGCCACCCCCGGCTTCACTTTTCGATTCCTTCAAATCTCCCTCTTACACTGGAGATGTTCGTAGTAGACTCCCCGGGCTCGTGGCGGAAGATGATCGAAGTGAATCTCCTAGTTATTCTCCGCAAGAGTTCGCTTTTTTGATGGACTCTCCGTCGGGGAAGTCTACTGGCGCTATTGATGATGCTGTACTTTCAATTGTAAGTGTACTTAGGGAGAATGGCGGTTTGGGGGAGGAAGCTCAGAAACTTCTTAGGCAGTTTAGGGAGAAGCTGAATCCGGATTTGATTGTTCGGGTTCTGAGAGAGGTCCGGGATGCTGAATTGGGCGTGAAGTTTTACATGTGGGCTGGTAGGCAAATTGGGTATAATCATAATGCAGCTGTTTTCGATGCTTTAATTGATGTTGTAGTCACCAGGGAAGCTGGTAGTTCCGAGAACGAGAAAGTTCCGGAGAGAATTCTCCATGTTCTTATGGATGATGATAAGGAAGTTCTGGGTAAATTGCTGAATTTCATGGTCCTAAAGTGCTGCCGAAGTGGGTTGTGGAATTTGGCGCTAGAAGAGCTAGAGAGGCTCAAGAATTTAGGGTACAAGCCCTCTAGAGTCACCTACAATGCCTTAGTTCAGGTTTTTCTGCAAGCGGGTAGGTTGGAGACTGCTTCTTTGATTTACAAGGAAATGTCAGGGTTAGGGTTTAAGATGGATATGCACACACTGAATTGCTTTACGCGCTCATTGTGCAAGGGAGGTAAATGGAGAGAAGCTCTCGATTTGATGGAGAAGGAAGGGTTTGTTGCGGATACTGTGATATACACCTCGATGATTTCTGGGCTGTGTGAAGGTTCTTTTTTTGTAGAGGCTATGGATATTTTGAACTTGATGCGCTCTAGTTCGTGCATCCCCAATAGAGTAACTTATGAGACCTTACTTTGCTCCTGTTTGAACCAAAGAAAACTGGGCTGGTGTAAGAGAATTCTTAACATGATGATTGTGGAAGGTTGCTATCCAGGCCAAAAGATATTCAATTCTCTTGTTCATGCTTATTGCAGATCAATGGATTATTCGTATGCCTATAAATTACTCAAGAAAATGGAGCGATGTGGCTGCCAACCTGGTTATGTCGCCTACAACATACTGATTGGAGGTATGTGCGGCAATGATGACTTACCGAGCAAGGAAATAATGCAACTGGCTGAAAAAATCTATGGGGAAATGATTGATGCAGGGGTTGTTTTGAATAAAGTCAATGTCAGCAATTTCGTCCGCTGTCTTTGTGCTTTCCAAAAGTTTGAGAAAGCTTTTCGTGTAATTCAAGAAATGATGAAAAAGGGTTTTGTTCCCGACGTTAGCACATACTCTAAAGTTATAGGCTTCCTTGGTAATGCCTCAAAAATAGACAAGGCATTCATGTTGTTTCAAGAAATGAAAAATAATGGGCTTGTTCCTGATGTTTATACATATACGATGCTGATTGACTGTTTCTGCAAATCTGGATTCATTCAACAGGCTCGTAGTTGGCTTGATGAGATGAGAAGTGTTGGCTGTATGCCCAATGTAGTGACTTATACATCTCTTTTACATGCATACCTCAAACAAAAGAGGATTTCTGAGGCAAATGAGCTCTTTGAGCTAATGCTGTCTGAAGGGTCCATTCCTAATGTTGTGACCTTTACTGCTTTGATTGACGGCTTCTGCAAAGCAGCGAATGTAGAGAAGGCCTGCCAGATTTATGAAAAAATGAAGGGAAGTGTTAACACTTCTGAAGTAGACATGTACTTCAAGACAACAGATATGGGTAATATAGAGAAGCCTAATCTTGTTACCTATGGGGCTTTAGTGGATGGCCTGTGCAAAGCACATAGGGTGAAGGATGCTCGTGATCTGTTGGATTCGATGACAGTGGATGGGCAAGAGCCAAATGTTATTATATATGATGCTCTAATTGATGGGTTTTGCAAGGCAGGAGAGATAAAGGAAGCACATGAAGTGTTTTCCAGAATGTTGGAGCATGGGTATGATCCAAGTGTTTTCACGTACAGTTCTTTCCTTGATAGGCTTTTTAAAGACAAACACTTGGATCTTGCTATGAAAGTTTTGTCTCAAATGCTGGAAAAATCTTGCCCCCCAAATGTTATTATCTACACAGAAATGATAGATGGTCTATGTAAGATGGGAAAGACTGATGAAGCTTACAAGCTTATGTTGATGATGGAAGAGAAGGGTTGCAAGCCAAATGTTGTGACTTATACTGCAATGATAGACGGATTTGGTAAAGCTTGTAAAGTGGAAAAGTGCCTTCAGCTAATCCAGCAGATGGTTTGTAAGGGTTGTGCACCAAATTATATTACTTATGTGGTCACGATCAAACACTGTTGTTCTGCTGGGCTTCTGGATGAGGCTGTCCAACTACTAGAGGAGATGAAACAAACACACTGGCCAAGACATATGGACAGTTATCATAGGATTATTGAAGGCTTCAACAAAGAGTACTTGATCAGTCTTGGCTTATTGGAGGAAATGAGTGCGAACAGTTGTGTCTCCTATTTTCCTGTATACAGGATTTTGATAGATAGCTTTCTCAAAGCAGGAAGACTGGAAGTGGCTGCTGACCTACATAAAGAGATTTCATCACCTTCACATCATGACAAGAATGTTTATGCTTCTTTAATCCAGAATCTTTGTGTTAATATGAAAGTTGATAAAGCATTTGAGTTATATGCCGACATCATAAAGAAAGGGGTAATTCCGGAATTGAGTGTCTTTGTTAACCTCATCAAAGGGCTTACATTGGCCAACCAATGGGAGAATGCACTTGAACTCTCTAAGAGTCTTTGTGACATGGTCAGTTACTTGTCACTCCATTTACTATCTACTAGCACAAACATGATTATATCTATCTTACTATTGTTATTGTTTATTTGTTCAACTTTGACTGGACAATATGTTACTCCCTCTGTTCCAAAAAAATCTTTAGGTTTAGTCCAACTCTGTCCTTTTTCTTTACCTATTTTCATTGATCATTTGAGAAAATAATATAATCACGCCACCTCTTGTTTTTAGATCTTTTGATATACTTCGTAGTTTTTATATATAAAACTTTACTTTTTATTTTTACACCAATTTTGAACAATAATTTTATTATGCCAAACAGGATGGCTGGCTACCAGCTAACAAGAAAATGGATGGCAGCTAATATGATATATGGCTTCATCTAAGTTTGTTCCTTTGCCTACTCACATGTTGCCACAAAGTTCATTAAGGATATTCAAGCAACACAACGCTGGAACCTCTACTCCAAACACCATTTGCCTGAACTCTGGGTAAATAAGATGAACTTATGTACTTGTGCTCAACTTTTTCTCAATGTTATATTTCCTTGTATTAGCATTCTTTGAAGAAAAAAAATGCCAGGTCAGAGACATACTAGGGCACGACATCTCGGCGTGCCTTGGTGGGATAAGGAGAGACAGAGATAGGATTACACATGGGTGACATGGCTGACCCAGAAAACCCGTCAAACCAAAACCGACTGACAAACTGGCCAAAACCAAACTAAATATTGGTGGTTTTGTTTGCTGTTTAAGATTTATGCACTAAAACTGACCAAAATGACCAAACACGACCGAAACCAACCAAAGCTGTCCGAAAGCGACAAATAATTTAGCTGAAACAGACTTGAGGGCCTGTTCTCTTTGCCTGAAAAATGTGACGTGATCTGTTTTGAATTAATCTGATCCAGACATCCAGTATGGTGTAGTATATGAGATTTTGTCTAACTCTCTGGTTTATTTTCAATGTTTCAAGCCTGGTGTGGTCTGCTTAGAATAGTAGTAAGGAATAAGCTTTTGTCTTTTGGTTTTGTTTTTTCAAAACTGAACCCACCTAAACTGATCCAGCCAAACCGAATCGACTAACACCCCTAGATGCCATATAGTGATATAATGTATCCAGGCTGGTATTCATATGTTCCGTGGTTGAGAAGTTTTTCATCATCATTGAGAGTGCTCTTTTACATACTGTGATTGGCAGGCCATTGAGATAGTCTTGCTGAGTTGACATGTGTTGTATTCCAGTTGCAGCGAGTGCCACAGATATATATGTCCATGAACAAGAATATAATATCAGATATCAAAGGGCACCACTATTCATCTCCAATGGCGGGTTCACCTTGAGGTATTTTTTTTTATGCCCAGAGGTTTCTTCTACTGTCTGTGGTTGTCTTGAGTTATCATTTTTTGTTTAAGAGATCGGGATTTGCTTCACGCATAGGCACTTGGCAGGCAAACAGAAATTTGAAGTTCAATTACATTTTTACAAGATGAAAGCATAATGAAATTGATGGATCTTATAAAGTATTCTGCAGATACACGCAACACACACCGTATATGTTAATAGCACCTGAACCCAAAAAAGTCGGTTTATCAATTTCGGAACCATGATATTCAGGGTTATATTGAAAGACCATTTGAAAACCCATTTTTTTCCGGTTTTATCACCCTTATCAATAATATATTCTATCTTACGGAGAACTAATTAAAAACAGTAGCGCATGTCAGTACTTTTGGGCTTTGGCTGCGAAATGTTTGAAATGAAGATAAATGATGCAGGGTACTTATACTCCCATCTTATACACATTATCTCCTTTAATTTCTTAATAAAATTTTACCTTTTAGATATTCCATCTGCCCCCAACTTAGCTTCTCATTTTCCTTTTTTATGACTCAGAATTATCTTCTCACTTCCTTTTTAAGAATTATGCGATTCATACTCCATATTTGTTTTCTTCCATTTCTAAACAAATCTAAATCACACAATTCCACTTTCTTACTAAACGTGTGACAAGAAATCGAGAGCTACATTGTACCTTACTTTTTTGATGGTTAATAAAATATCCTCACACCCATGGCTCAGAATACTGGGGGAGGGGTGGGGGGGGGGTGAGGTGGGGTGTGTGAGTCTGAAGTTAAAATGGTTGGGATAAATTATGTATTCCGCAACTGGTATGGGATGAGGCAGACAAAAAAGATATCCTGTGGGTGTGTTGGGCACATGGCAAACATCTTAAAGATTGTGATATCTGTTCTTACAGGCCAAAAACGGACACTCCATGGTACTGGAAGAAAATGTGTAAATATATGGACAATATCAGTTCATCTAATATCAGAAGAGGGGTCTTGGAGAAAGCTCTAATGATCTGCTGGGATTGTGATCAAACCCTTAGTGGGGGTACCTCTAGTGCGGGCTAAACTCTGCCAACCCAAACATCATGTCCTGTTATGGTTGTCGCCGAAGGAGAGGCTCTTTGTTAAAACAAGAGTTGCCAAATATTTAAATACTGACAAGGACTGTTTTGTGCAATAAATGAGGGTAATGAAGAACAGATGTAGGCAAAAGTGGCCTTGTTTAAAGAAACTGGATGGGAGAGGATGGAAGAGGAAAATGGCCTCAGATTTCCAGGAATGGCAAGTGAAATGTGATAGGGTGAACAGGGAGCAGCTGTGTGTTATCATGAATCCCTCCACAACTATGTCAGCCATCATCAATGAACATGTTGCCCAATTGTATATGAATATAGTTGTGCAACTTAATTGTTCACAGATTTGTTTTTGGAATGGAGGCAGTATAAGATTATGACAATTTGTGGGATTTTACTAACTCTGTTCTTGTTGAACATAAGATGAAGAAGTATATGGTGATGTAGTTTTATTTGTCCTATAGATTGGTTGGATCAAGAGTTGAGTAATGAAATGTTCGCTTGGTTACAAAAAAAACGGGACGGTTCATGTAAAAATTTGCCAAGTTTTTCACTCTAGTTAAACGGGATCTCTCTGCAATGCAATCGACAGATTCCGTAGTTATCTAGCACAACGTAGTGGTTAGAGCTCCGTCCATGTACCAAAATACCCTTTGTTGTTTATGAGGCAAAATGAAATTCTTTTTTTTAAAATACATTTTGCTTAAAAATTGGTATTAAAAACAAACAAGAAAAACTTACATCTGGTTTTGTGTTATCCTTAAAGATGCCAAAACTTACATAAACTGCTTCTAATTAATAATATCACCTTGTTAATTTATCTACTAATGCCCTGATTTGTTTTAGGACATTTCATTTCCATCTGGTTGTGTTATCCTTGCAAGACTGAAACACAAGACAAATATGGAAACACATACTGGTACAATGTAACCACAGCAGCACACAAGAGAACAAGACCCACATAAATAGAATTCACTCACTCAAAGACTAGACTTGCCCACACATTTTTTTTTACATGAAAACCAAAAAAAACACCATCAAACTCAAGTACATTAAAATGTTCTGTTATTTTGTTTTTGGGGGCAAAAGGGGTCATGAAAAAAGCCAAAAAACAATCAAGGAAGAGATGAAGGAACTAACAAAGATGGCTAATCAAATGGCAGTAGAGTTCATTCAACCAATCAATCAACGGAAAGCTTGCGGCGCTTGTACCTCACCATGACCTTCCCCTTGACCCCCACGACCATCGCGTTCCAGTCGATCTCCGGGAAGGGGGAGACGAGTTCCAGTTCAAAGTTCCTCAGCAAGTGACTCCATATCGCTTTTATCTGCAAATACGCAAACGGTTCGCCCAAACACCCGTGCCTGCCGCCGCCGAACGATATGTACGAGAACGGTCCGGCTGCCTTGTCCTCCTCCCTCCCCGGACCGAACCGGTCCGGGTCGTACGTGTCCGGTTCTTTGAAAATGTGCGGGAGCCGGTTCGCAAAAGCTGGGGACGTCGCCACGATGTGGCCCTTGGGGATGTCGTATTCGACCCCTTCTTTCGTGGTGACTCGGAAATCACTGTGTGAGCTTCTTAGGAGCATTATCAATGGAGGGTGGAGTCTCAGAGCCTCCTTTATGCACCTGTACAAGACATCCATTTCAGACAAGATATCATGGTCCACCTTAGTAGCACCATGTTTCTTCATCAGACTCTTCTGTTCTTCCAGAACGGCCGACATGTGTTTGCCGTGGCACAGGAGGTAGGCCCCGGTCCAAGTCGAGGTGATGGAGCTCGTGTGCTGGCCGGCGAATAGGGCGGCAATGAGTAGACCGGTGACTTCGGATTCGGTCGTCTGGCGGCCGTCTTTGTACTTGGAGTCTATGAAGCACTGTAGCATGTCATTCTCGGACTTCCCGGTTTTCTTGCGGGAGGCGATGATGTTCGAGAAGATCTCGGCCAGCTTCTTGCGGGCCAGGTCGCGCCGGCGGTGGGCCGGAATGGGGAGGTAGGGGAAGATGACGCTGATGGGGAGCATACCGTTGTCAAGGTCATGGAAAAGAGCCGACACGTCTTCGAACAGCTTGTTGCGAACTTCTTCTCCCAGCAGGCATCTGCTGGCTGTGAGGATGATCAAGTGCTCCAGTTCATATTTTAAATCCACTTCACCACTGTCTGCCCATTTGGAAAAGTACTCCTGCAATGGATGAAAAAGTAAAGAGTGAAGATTTTTTTGCAGGATTGAGGGAGTATTCCAACCATTGCATTTAAGCTTGGGAGAAAGGAAAAACACATAGAAATGGTTTGTAAACAACATTTTTCACAACAATGATGAGACATTTTGTGATTTGAACCATAATCTAATATCAAAGTTTTATACTTTCTACTGATTTCAATGTAGCGAAAGTGACATATAGTAAGCTTGAGAAGGATTGAATACTAGACACACAATACCCATTAAGCCTGTAAGACAAATATAGTTTTAGACATAATACAGATGAAAGTCGAAACCATTGACAGACCAACAAGTCTTTTATTCCAACCAATGGTTTCAACTTTCAAGTGCGTAGCTACACAAAACTACAAAATGTGATCGTGATTATTATAGCCGTTAAATGAGTGTAATATCTCGCTAAAATGGCTAAATCAGCTTAGAGATTGACTGAAATGGATGGATAGGTTAACTTAACCAAAATGCCAAATCCCCAATTCTCAAAAGACCATCTTGTTTGTAGTACTTCATTCTGAAAACAATAATCATGCTTGCCATACATTTCAGTGTCACAAAGATGACTATTTTTATACACAGAGAGTAGTATTTTTTAAATGACTTCTTCGGATAGATGTAATATTTAAACAGAGTAATAGTTTATCTTCCCGCTTTTCTTTTTTGGATGTTTCTAATTGATCTTCCCATTTCCTTTTTAAGGAAATGAATTGTTTGCTCTCTATATAACTTCAATCTCCTCTACACAAATTTCAACTCTCTTAAACGCCATGTTAAAAGCAAATGGGAAGATGAAATAGGGACGGACGGAGTAATATTTTTCAAAGATAGAAAATCTTAACATAGAAAAAATGTTCTTTCCTTCTTCTTTTTCCCATTCAGTTAAAAACACAACCCCAAGATCACATTTTTAACACCAGTTTCAGAAACCAAATAAGTTAGGGCGTGTTTGGTATATAAATCTTCAAGATAACACATTTTCACTATCAAGATTTCAGTATCCAAACAAGTAATATACCTCAGCTTCCATGATCATCTGATCCACATAACCTTTGAGCTTAGTGACTCTGAGAGACTCAGTAAAGAACCTGAACTGCTCTTGCCTGATTGAGTAATCCACATCGAAAACCACGCCCGGCCCGAAAGTGGGCACATTGAATTGGTACACCTCCTGCTGGCTGAGATCGGATTCCGGGGCCTTGAAGAAATGGGCCGAAACCTCCGGCCCAATCAGGAAGGTGATGTTCTTGTTGAGCAAGTTTAGGGTGAAGACGCTCCCCAGCTTCGGGTACTCCTCCCGGAGCATCACGATCGGGCCTCTCAGGAACCGGGCCAGCCCGCCGATCAGAGGCCACGATTTCACCGTCGGCGGCAGCCGCTTCTTGGATCTGGGCATGATCAGGGCGGCGATCAGCTTCGCCGCCGCAACGGTGGCGATCAGCAGCAGACCCACATTCAACAACTTGCTGTCCCCTAAATCCATTGTTGCCTTCTACGCACCAGATTGAGAGGAAAGGGGCGGGTGATAATGGATGAAGAAATGAGATTTCCGGCCGGGGTAGCTTAACAGACCGTAGGAGATTCCGGCGTACGGAGAAGCATTTCAATGAAATTTAAGGGGAAAAAAGAAATATTTTGGGAGCTGATGAGAAGAACGGCAGTGTGAGTTTTCTTGTTTTTTGTTGCCCCGTGAGTTGTTTCCACTCTCATTAGTGGGTATCACTCATTTCAAAAAAAAAGGAAAAAGAATCTTTTTTTGGTTATATAATGGAAGGACCATGCTAGGGTGCCACCAAATGGGTGCACCCATGGTAGCACCCATGTGGTGGCACTTTAGCATTTTCCATAATGGAAATATCTACCTCAATAAACTTACATCTGATCTGATCCATCATATATCGGTCCAGTTCCAGTGACACCGGAAAACGGTGCCACTCCGGTGTCACTGAGTTTTTGGGGCACCTTCGGTGCTCCGTTCGTAAAATTGACAGTTTCTACCCCTTAATTCACTCCCTAAACCCCTACCCTACCCCACATCTGCACCCCCACCCCAACCCCGCCTCCGTAACCCACAAAAGTTATCTAAACATAGCAAAAAAGTTTTTTTCCTTCTTTTTCCTATTTAGTTAAAAATACAACCCCAAGCTAGATCACAGTTTTTAATACCATGCTCAAAGTTAGGGTGTGGTTGGTGTATTAATCTTCAAGACAGGTCTTTTTTATTATCCAAACAAGTTATACACCTCAACTTCCATTATCATCTGGTCCACATAACTTAGTGACTCTGAGAGACTCAGTAAAGAACTTGAACTGCTCTTGCCATTGAGTAGTCCGATTCAAAGGTCCGACCCAAAAGTGGGCACATTGAATTGGTACACCTCTTGCTGGCTGAGATCCGATTCGGAGGCCTTGAAGTTTCAAACCCCGTCGGAGATTCCAGCGTAGGGAGACGCATTTCAATGAAATTGAAGGGGGAAAAGGGGAATATTTTGGGAGCCGTTGAGAAGAATGACAATGGAAATTTGCTTGTTTTTTGTGAGTTGTCCACTCTCAACCACACATCAGGGGTTACTACTCATTCAAAAAAGTTGTTAGAAAAGAGATATTTGTTGGGATCTTCAAGTTTATATGTGAAATGTGAATCTCTCTTAATACGTTTCATGTACTGACAAAGTGGTTTTTTTCAAAAAAATATACTCCGTAATTCTTTTGCGATATCAATACAATAAGGTCCACAAAATGAATATGGATTTTAAGACCACGTAAGAGTTTGCAGTTAAAAAAAAGGAAAAGTTCACGTCAATACACTTAGATCTGTCCAATTGTATAATAGAATTATTCTTAAATATTTTTCCCCTCCAATACTTTGAGAAATCACTCAACTTTATATTTTACATTATTACTCCAGCCCGACTTAGCTTTGCAGAACAGCTTGTTGCTCGTTTGATTTCTATTTTGATGTATTAGTTCTCTTGTTAGGCTCGTAATAAATCATCATTTTTTGGCTACTACAGGAAAAAATGTTGGTAACAAAAAGAAAAAAAATTGTTGGAACCATACAATATGATCATTTTTGCAAATCTCAATTCTTGACGACTGCATGCGCTCGAAACCAATTACGCTAAGTATAATGTTTGCCATGACAACTGCGCTTGATGACAACTTAATTGTCGGCAAGCGCTGCATAGTTGAAAACGGTAAGGGAAAAATAATTTTCAATTGGAAATCATTTTCCCTTGCAAAATATTTTTCCCGGGAAATATTTCTTGTCTAACCAAACACACCCATAATTGCAAATCTGAGTGGGCTTTGTATTGGGCTGAAAGCTGAGAAGCATATCGTCTTGGGCCCTCAACCGCAAGAAAAGCGCGAGTCATATGACCGGCCCACATCCAAGAACAACGTTCAAGTCTCTCTCTCTCTCCCTGTGAAGAAGAATCGGGTAAGATTGTGAGAACTAAAAAATATAAATACGACTAAATAAATAAATCCGCAGTTTTTTTACCGAGTTCAAAGGAGTTTTGATTCTTCTGAATAACAAAAATAATAATTGAAATAAAAAAAATTTAAAAGGAGACCCCCAGCAGGAAGAAGAAGAAGAAGCGATTAAGTGTGAGCAAGCATCGTCTCTTACGTCTCCTTTTTTTTTTCTTCTTCAATCAAACCATAACTTAATCTTTTTCACAAGAAAGAAAGGAGAATCTGAAACCCCTTTCTGAGTTTTTCCGATTAATCACACAATCTGATTATATATTTCTTTTATTTTTTCAAATTATTTATTTCTTGTTTTTGCGTCTTCCCTTCAAATAAAGATTTTTTTTTTGTAGTGGGGGGTTATTTTGTTTTGTTTTTTTATTGGGAATTTGAGCTGGGCATTGACGCTAACAGTCAGAGAGTGATTCTTTTCTTTCGCAGGTTAGTTCTTTCTTGAGTTCTGTATTTTTTTTTTGGCATTTTATGTTGCCTTTTGTCTGGATATATACTGTTTTCTGGGACTTCTTGTGAGAAGAACTTGCTATTGGCGTTGTATTTTGTATTGAGGGGATGAGTAGTTTGGTTTAGTGAAGTTTGAAGCACTTTGTTTTATGTTTTCTGCTTAGGATTTCTGTTCAGAATTGTTTTATTTAATTAAAGGTTGCTTGTTTTACTGGAAAATTGATTACACCTTCAAGTGGAAGTGATCAAGGCTTGTATGTTGTGATTCGATATATGCTTGAGTTGTAGATATCAGGGAGGAAGTGATCATATGAAATGTTGGTTATTTCTAGTCTTTCGAACAACTTAGGGTTTGAAAACTATGTTTCAATGCCGTGGTATGGGATTGGTCTGCAAGTTTTTTCAAAAGAAATGAGGGAGACAATGAAAGGAAGCATCAAAATAGAGGAGAGTGGGAAGATAGTTGCGGGGATTAGAAACTACAAGGAAAAACAAGAAATGAAGTATGGGACTTGATGCGTCGATGGAATCCTGGAGAATCCCATTTATGGTTATTTTTCTGTTTGCTTAGTTTAAAATGCCAAGTAGGATTCTTGTAAGTTCTGTAGCTTTCTTCCTTTTTTTCCATGGTAATGAACTAGTGTCCGGCCACACAACTTTCCATTCACACATATGCATATACAGTGATATTTATCTTGTATGTTATGGAATGGTTTTATTGTGTATTTGACAAAAAGTGTTTACTTGAATAAAAGATGAGAAAAAAGTGCGAAAAAAGCACGAGGTCTTGCAACTATGCAAGCTTCAATGATGTGAAATGTGATATGATGTGTCAAGAAGTAATATCTTGATGTGTGCTAGTTCTATCAATATTTTTGTTGGGATTTTTTGGGCCTCCCAGTTATTTACTCTTTGGCAAATGTATGACACCTTACATATTCTCTCCACACATTTTGACTGCTTTCTTCCTTTTACCACAGTTATGCAAGTGCATTTTTTCCGTATTCTGTAGCTTGTGGATGTGTGCTTTCAGTGCTTTGGGTCTAGTTTCTAGTGTCAGTTCGTGTGTTTCATGTCTATGTGTTTGATTTGTCTGTTTACTTCGTTATGTGTTGCGTCTGTGTTTGAGCCGGGGGGGGGGGGTCTCATAGAAACAGACTCTCTACTTCTGAGTAGGGGTAAAATCTCTTTATTCACACCTCCCCCAAACCCTACTTTTTTTGTGGGCTTTTGCTTCGGTTGTTGTTATTTTTATTTTGGTTAAAATATGGATTACTTTTTTTAATCTCAGCAACATGCATTAAATTGCTGCGTGTGTGCGGAATGGACTTGCCACGCTCCCTCGCCATCAACTTTCACAAATGATGTTTAGCGGTTTGAAACTTGCTCATGCCCTTAACATATTCAAATGGAAATCGCGTGGTGAATCATCTTTAAGTACAGGCTTACTTGACTACCCCTCACCTCCTGAAATAGAGTTGTCTGACTATCACAGAGCACCAACTCCCAGCAGTGAAAGCCCTTCGGGGCTCCTTAATGATGAGAGCTTTACCATTGAACCTATTGCCGATTTAGACCTTTTCTTTGAGAGGCTATACAGCTACTACTGCGAGAAAGGTCTATGGTGCATCATCATCAAGTGGATTTTTGAGCTTTCTGGTTTGGCTTTCACCATTTGCTTCTCTGGGTTTTTCTTGCTGTTTGTTGATTGGAATGGGCTTCGTAGTGCCAAGTGTGGGATGGAAGCGGTAGAATCTGGTATTAAGCCTTGTGAACTGTCTAAGGAAGCTCTTCATCAACACCCACTGTCCCCTTTTACAATATCTAAAGCTATTGTTGTTGGTTACCTTGGAATATTCTCAGTATACTGGATATTTTGCTTTTTTAGATTCTTTGCACAGCTAAAAGACACCTTGAAGATTCGCGACTTTTACTACAACAGGTAAATACTATGTAGTGCTCTGTATTTCTGTCTAAAAGCCAAAACAGTGAGAAATCTCTTTATTATCTAATCTGTTAATCGCAAAACCATAGACTATGAGGAGCTTCCCGTGCTTATTGCCGGTTTTCTGGGTCACCTGACTTACCAATCAGAATTTTTATAGTTCTTTTTACCAAACACTAATTTATTTGACTCATTGTGCGTGCTAAGTTGTTTAATATTAAAAAAACAGGACGGGTAGTGCTTCCTTGACTGGAGTTGACTATATTACCCTTTTCACATTTTATTCTCTATTTTATGAATACAACAAATTTATATTTTTTCATAATTCAGCAACTTTAGCAACTCCATCAACATCAACAATTTCAGGATTTCGGCCACTTTAGCTATAGTTCACACTTGCCAGTAGTTACCAAACGGGCTCACAGACATTATACTACCTTTACTGTGTTTTGTGTTTTGCAGTCTCCATATCACAGACAATGAGATGCAGACCATGCCTTGGGCATCTGTTCTTGAAAAAATTGTTCAATCACAGAATTCACAACAACTGTGTGTGAGCAAAGATCTTTCAATCCATGATGTGGTTATGAGGTTGATGCGGAAAGAGAATTATTTGATTGGAATGGTCAACAAAGGAGTGCTTGCCTTCCCTATTTCTTCATGGTTACCTGGTGTTGGTCCTGTCAAATTCTGCTCAGAGGGTGTCCAACATCGTCTAATACTAACGAAGACCCTTGAGTGGACCCTACATTGGTGTATATTGCAGAACATGTTTGATAGGTATATCCCAAATCATACATCAAGCACAAACCCAGTAAAAGTGTAAAATCGTATAGAAAAATAACAATACCCTTTGGAAAAATGCCTGTGGTAAACTACCCATCTTGTTCAGAACCAAATATGTATTATACATGGAAAAATTTGTGTCTGAAAAGATACGCCTTCTTAGAATTTAATGAACTGAATTGAATGCCTTTGCCTCTGCCTCTGCAGGAACTATTGTGTTAGGAAAGATTTTGTTTCTGACCCCAAAACATTAAAGAGAAGGCTTGTGATTGTTGGCATTGGAATGCTTCTGGTTTCCCCATTTCTTGTGATATTCATGCTGGTGTATCTCTTCTTGAGGCACGCCGAACAATTCTACAACCATCCTAGCACGGCGTCATCTCGAAGGTGGTCAACACTTGGCAAGTGGATTTTTAGAGAATATAACGAGGTATCCCTTTTTTCTGTCCATTTTCGTAAAGTTGTGACTTATTCTTGTTTCATAATTCGCATGACGTTTTACACTTAGAGGCGCTTTCCTTTCATCTATATAAGCTATTCCTACCATTTTTGCCCTTAATCAATTTAATGGACCCATTGTTACATTTCAAAAAGATTAATAACCCCTTCAATGTAGGGAATCAATTCTAATCTATTTTTTTTATCAATTACCTGACCTGATCCAATACTTTTGTCCCAAAATACAGTTCCCGTTCCGGTTTAAGATATTTGAGGGGAAGTTATTTTCAATGCAATACATTTTAAAATTCACGTAGAATTAAACACTAAAAAGTACTAGTATATGTTTAGAAGTACATCAAAAGGTTTACAAAACAAGTGGTTACTTGATTATTTTATTTTATCTAACGATCGATGAGAATGTGCAAAGAAAGAAAATATGGTTTGATCCCGTGAATAGTGAAAGCGAACCTTATTTTAGGACAGATGGATTATAATAATAAATATTTTTCCGAGTTGTTGCGGACATTTAGCTGGATTGAAGAATACTCAATATCTTGACCTCAGTTTTTTTCCTCTAAATATACTCTCTCACTTGCTGTTTGTGTTTTAAATCTTTTTGTTACAGGTTGACCACTTATTCAGGCACAGGATAAATAGCAGCATAGTACACGCATCTGATTATCTGAAGCAATTTCCTTCTCCTATTTTATCACTGGTTGCAAAGTTCATCTCTTTCGTTTCTGGTGGCTTTGCTGCTGTTCTTATCATCATTGCTTTCTTCGATGAATCTCTGCTGGAAGGCCATGTATTATTCCCCCACTCCTCCTTTACTATATATAAACTACGAGTAACCTCCGTATCAGAATAAACTTCTAACTTTCCTTTTTGGGTTGTCCCATAGTAAAAGCACTGTGTTTTGGACGTAAACTAATTTTAATAGAGTACATATTTGTATCCAAATTAATAGGGTATTTTCAAATGCTCATTAAGTTTAGATCCACTTTAGGACTAATTTTATGCTCAACTATGCTATATGCTCCGTCACATAAAAATCTTTACTTTTTTCTTTTAAGAATAATAATAAGTGGCTCAGAGAATTTCTCTTGTCTTAACAAATTCCAACCACATGATTTTCACTTTTCAACAATTCTCTTAAACTTCGTTTAAGTCATAGATAGAAGATTTATATGGGACTGAGGTAGTATATGCTATTTGGACATATTTAGTCCTATGAAAATACCCTTTTAAATTCAAGCAAAATATGTTCAAGGTCTAAATTTGGCCCATGCTGCACAGCCGTTGGCAAATCGAGTGCAAAGGAAGTTAGGGACCAGACTGAGTAATATTTCATAGCCGAAGGGTTAAAATAGACATATTTACTCACCATTGGGTAGTTCACTGATGGTGAAATCTGTTTTGAACGTAACAGATTTTTGGACGAAACTTGCTATGGTACGGTGCTGTTTTTGGAGCGATTACAGCCATAAGCAGGGCCGCAGTGGCAGATGAAGTTCTTGTTCTTAATCCACACGAGTCAATGTCACTTGTAGTCCAACATACACATTACATGCCCAAGAGATGGAGGGGAAAAGAAAACACTGAGAGTGTCCGGCTGGAGTTTGAAACTCTATTTCAGGTTCGTATTGCTACTTTATTAAGAAATACATCCTTTTGATTCGGGAAATATGCTTTAGTAACACCACCAGTGACACCAAGATTGACACCACAAGTTCCCTAGTTGGTAGAGAAGTCGAACTCGACACTCGACATTTTTTTTTGCACAAATTCTTAAAATGGATTTTAATAATTTATTATAGATTTATTATGCTCTTAGGTAACTTAAGAATTGAGTTGTTAAAATTGGTATCATTTTACTATTATTGAATATTAATTCCATATGCAGTACACTGGCATGATGTTGCTGGAAGAAATGGCTTCAATCTTTCTTACGCCGTACCTACTTCTATTCGTTGTTCCAAAGGTTGTTATTATTGTTGTTGTTGTTGTTATTATTATTTGTGTAAAATTAAGTTTTGAGACAAACCTTAAGAAATATTGGATGATGGTTCCCTTTGATGTTGCAGAGAGTGGACGACGTTCTGCGGTTCATTACAGATTTCACTGTAGATGTTGAAGGCGTTGGCCATGTATGCAGGTTATATTTATTCCCTATATTGCTTAGTTCATATTCCTTATTTATTACTGTCAATATATTTATTCTTTTTATTTAATTTAATTTAATTTTGTTTCTTTTTTTTTGGGATTTTGCAGCTTTAGTGTCTTCGACTTCAGAAACCATGGGAATACCAAATATGGCTCACCTTTCAATGCACTACGCACCCGAAGGAGTTCCCAGGGAAAACTGGAAAAGTCGTTCTTGAGGTTCAGACTCAACATTCTAACTCTATTAAATCATCTTTTTTTTCGCTTAATTGCAGTTTTACATGGGTATGAATTCTCTCTAAATGTTTATTATTACTATAATTATGCAGTTTTCGTATCAGCTACCCGTCCTTGGAACCTAATGTCGAAGGGAAGCAATTCCTTTCAACATTGAAAGCGTTTAAAGAAAAGAAATGGTATGGGCATGGGATGAGACCAGAAGCTTTTCAACATATGAACTTTCACCCGCCATGGATTCTCGACTTCAGAAGCGCGAGTGATGATGACTTGGGAGATGGCCATCCGTACATTCTTGACTGCTATTACACGTCCCACATGACATGTGGCCCGAGAGAGTCTCGGTCTGACCGCTTTGACGACGTGGGACCTGATGATGTAACGACCCGACCTGTTTTTAACAAGAGACAGTCATTTGAAGTTAGGTCGCAAAGTTATATGCATGCTTCGACTTCGGCTCCTCTCTTCCGGGAGAGCGTCTTTCGTCATCATTATGATCAAGATGGTGGTGGTGGTGACGCGGGTCCCTCTTATGCGAGGCGGGACTGGTGGGCCAGAAGGGCGCCGTCGGTCCGGGACCCACAGACAAGCTTTCTTGAACCTCCAACTTTTGCAGGCGGTGGCGATGGTGGTGGAGGACGTCAGGCGAGCTTTATTGAACCTCTTCTTCCCGCATTCAACCGTGACCCTCACGACTACTGTGATAGTTTCTTGGAGAGGTGTGTAGAAGACGATGGACACAAAGATCATATGGATTTGGGAAGGAGCTCGAATAGTTTGATGGCGAGAACGGTCTTCATGGATGAAAGTGTTGGAGAATTCAACCTTCCATTCGATGATATCTATGGAAGGCGTTCGGGGAGCCCGGGTTCTCATAAGAGCTCAGATGCAGCAGCAGATCTTGTGTGATGGTTTTCTCTCCTCTCTAATAGGGTAGTGATGATGATGATATACTATGTTCTTTGTTGTTGTACATAATAAACCCATTGAAGTTAGAGTAGGAATGGCCCGGGCCCACGGGCGGGGCAGGGTAGGGGGAGGTTGAATCAGAGTGGGTGATGCTCCGGTCACGTCACGCGGATAACACCAAGTTTGACACCGTCACTATCTGCGCGTGGTTGTCTCCGATGGTGTAGTTTTTAATGTCATCCGTGTGATTAGAGTACTGTGGTGTTTACCAATTTGGATTTGCACACTGATTTAGACGATCAGTACTCTCTCATCCTTTTGCAAATGTGTAAAATTTTCACATTTGTTGCTAGGCAAATTTGTTTTTTTTTTAATAAAAAATATAAACTTAAATACTCTTCGTATGTTTGGTCAGCGGGTGATATATGCGTTCCGAAACTAATTAATAAAATAAAAATGCTTCCGATGCGAAAAGATTCACGAAAAAAGTGTGGACCTCGACCACCAAAGAAGCACTCAATTTTGATATCTTCTTCAATCGTCTACCAGCTACCACCTTTGGTTGCTCCCATCACGGCCACACTTTTCCGCCATCCCCGTCCCTACCCACCACCATAGTCGGTTGCCCCCATCATCGGCCATCCTTGCCCTCACCCACCATCTCCGGCCCCTTACGATCGTTGGCCACTCGTCACTGATTGTCCGGGGGCCACTTTTATCTGTCATTAACAATCACCATTTCAAATCATTTCAAATACCTTCATGGGATACCCAATTCTAACTTCTAAGTTATTATAAATACAAATAATTATAGTAATTCGTAATAACTCTATTCTGTTAATCACGTTGCTTTAGCTAACGATCACGCACACACTTTTTTAATCGATTTCAAAATAAATTTTACATTTCACTTTTTTATTCCCTCTGTTCACCAAAATGGTTCCTATTTTGATTAATGAGAGAAATAAATAATGTATATTTATAGTTAACTTTACAAATTTATTCTTGATGTGATGTGCAAAAAAATATATGATGTGTAAAAATTAGTGAAAAAGTATAGTGCGATAGACATGGTAAGAATTAGTAGTAAAAGTGATTTTTAATAGAAAGTGAACGTATTTTGGTAAAAGAGAAAAAATATGAAAGTGGAAGTGTTTTCAAAAATAGAGAGAGTATATTCTTGACACCTCTTGATTTATAAAGTTTTTTATGCAGCTTTTTAATATATACTGTAAATTTTACATTATAGTTTTATGCCAAATCTCTTATAAATCAAATTGAAATCATTTGAGAAGAAATGTTCATTATAGCTTTGATCAGCTCAATATTAAAAAAGGAATGATCTTTCTATTGGTGAGCCGTTGGGAAGCGGGGTGGTCCTTGTTGGTGACCCGGCCTTCTTTTAATTTCTTCATCTTGTTTTGTATCTTTAACTAGATTAACTTAAAATTAAATGTCGAAATTGTTGTCAAACATGAGAAGCCTTATATCTTTTTTAAAACACATTAATAAATTTTATTAGTCCCTCCGTCATATATGTACTGATTGATTGTCACTTTGTTCGAAAATATGTTATTGCTGGAACCATGAGTGTGTCTCATGTTTTTTCAGAGGACCTATTGGCTAATCTGCTGAACAAAGCCTTACCTTCACTGCGGTTTCAGAGTCTAATATCCAAGCTTCCACTCGTTACACGAAGTTCAGCTTGAGGGGAATGTTAGACAATTACTCCCTCCGTCTTAAAATTAACTTCTCATTTGACTTTTTACGGTCTCCAATGCGGTACTTTGACCATTAATATCTCCATTTTTATATGAATATATATTATCAAAATAATATATTTCAAAACTATGTTTCAAAATGAATCTATTGATATTAAATTTATATGAAAATTCAATATATTTTTTCTGTAATATGCAGTCAAAGTTTTAAAACTTTGATTGCAAAAGTCAAAATGGGAAATTAATTTTAGGACGGAGGGAGTATAATAAATGCATATATTATTTATAGAAATATTGTATTTAGGAAGCTACCATTAGGATTCCTTGATATGTTAGGAATCTCTCTATTTATATACATGTGTATCTTCCCTATTATGAGAATAATACAATTGTTTTGATTCTCAATAATATATCGTTCTTTCCAGAATATTATTCCAACCTAACTGAAATTTATATGTAACGTACTTTTCTTAAGATTTGGATAATAGTTAGATGCTACTGAAGCAGACCTTCAAGTCTTCTTTGCAAGCTTGATGGGATAACTACCTACACCAAGGAACCGTAAAATACCCATCACTACATTCATATACTTCCCTCCAAGATTATTTGATCGAAGAAATTTGGAGGTGTAACAATACTTAATTGTATCATTAGTTTTAAGAATTTCGTCTTTTTTCGTTTGTTTTTTAAATCTTAATCATATTTTGGTGTATTTCGTCTTTTATATCAATGTTGTTATAAATAAAGAATGTCAATCTTAGTATTTAATTATATGTATTTTGTTTTTTTAAATTCAAATTAAAATAATGAATAATGTAAAAAAAATGGAGAGACGAGTTTTCAGGGTGATATCATTGCAGGACTTTGGCGCGGGGTGGAAAGTTAGTGGGATGCTGATGTGGCAGGAGTTTGGGCGGGGCGGAGAAGCCTCTCATTGTAAATTCTCTAAAGATGGGGATAGAAACAATTATTTTAATCTTATTCCTAATCTTAATCTCGATAAGTCTAGAAAACATATTATAGTCATTTTCTAACAATACCCTTAATTAATTTTCTTATTTGTAAAGAAAGACTTTGGTTCACATACACTCCTATGAGTCCTATCCTATATTCATATTTTAATTACATAATTTTACTTTTCTTTAATTGTACTCCGTATATGAAAAGCAAATACAGAGACTAACATGAGATTTGACTATTGGAGGAAGTTGAATACAACTCCGTAACAAAGTTAAAATCAATGAATCTATTTAAAAAGCTTGTTTGATATTTTAATCTATTTTTTAAAGGTTTTCATCCGCATAAGTGTAGTTTTTTTTTCAAATCTTATAATCACAACCTTATCAGCTTATTTGATATTTTACTTTATAATATGTGGTATGAATACAAGTGGATAACTGAACACAGAGGTAACAATGTATTATACTCCCTCTCCCTCAAAATCTTTTTTTTCTTTATTTTTTCATCCCTCCCAAAACAATTTTTCATTTCTATTAAAATTTCACTTTTACTCATACTAATTCTTAAGATACCTATCACATCACATTTATTCACCATTAATCTACTCATCAAATCTTACTTTACCCATCACATTAATGGATTTTTCTTAAAAACTCAACACCAAAATATATTTCTTTTAAATCCTTTAAAAATCAAAACCTCCGATGTTTTTATGGACGGAGGGAGTATGTCATGACATCATTGTTTTGGCATGTCCTAGCTCCTTATTCATTTAATTTGATTTTTTTTATATTAAGCTGAACGAATTATAATCATTTATTACATTAATTTTTTGTTACATATTAATACTCCCTCTGTCCCAAATTATAATGTCCGTTTACTATTCACAGGGTTAAATTTCATTCACTTTCTTTCTCTATTTTCGTTAGCAATTTGATAAAATAAAGTACTATTGTCACTACTAGTTTTGTAAATCTTTTGATATAGTATTTTAATATGTAATTTTTTGTTAACTCTATACTATTTGTCATATAAAATATTTTGAAAAGAATTTCAGTCAAACATCGTAAACCGAAACAGGCACTATAAATTGGAACGGAGGGAGTACAATGTAATAATTTTTCATAAATTTTATGGAAGATATGGCTAATGAAATCTTTTTTTGTACTCCCTCTGTCCAAATATGTTTGCAACATTTCTAAGGATGTGCAAAATTTTATTTTTTAAAAACCAAGATGCGACAAAAATATTTTATTTAATCAAATGCTCAACCAAAACAAGTAAATAAGCAAAAGTTAACAAAAGTTATCGAGAGATCGAAATAGTAACTATGTCATTCTTTTTGAGATAAAAGAGTATTATGCAATACAATTTCTAAAATTTAAATTCTATAGGTGGCACGTGACATTTGTACGATTTCCCTCCAAATGCATATTATAAGTTGCACACCAAATTGATTTGGGTCAAATTGACACTTTTAGTTTGGAGTCTCAATAAAGAAATGGAGACAGACAAATGATATTATCTTTGAATGCTAATCCCACATCGGGGAATTGCAAATCATGAACTCTCATTAAATAAATGGGGACAGAAGAAAAGTGTACAATTAAATTTAGTGATCTGTCTTTAAGATTGATATAAGGCCATGAAGCAAGTGCAATGTATCTATGAATTACATAAGTAATAATGTATTTTAATACATTGGTTGCACTTGTTTTGTTGCTTTGTATAAAAGCTTTTCGGACATTTTTTTCTCTCTCTTCAACTCTATATTTTTTTGGACGTTAAAAGTCATCACATTTAAGAATTTTTTTTGGACGTTAAAAGTCATCACACTTAAGAAGTGCAAGTAGTGCGACTCAGCTACTCCTCTCTCACAATTAAAGTCTAGTTCTATTCTTTTTTATCAAATTTAATTTTTTTTTAAAAAATTAAATATAGTTTTCAATAAAAAAAAATGTTCCAAAAAATTGATACACGAACACTACGTCTTAAAATTAACCAAACTTTATTAAGTTTATATTATGACATGATAAGTTTTTGTTTTTAGCCTCTTGCTTAATCATCCATCACGTGGTCCGTTAGTTTTTCTATTTAAATTTTTTTTACAAAGCGAAGAATGACTCCACCGATTTCTATATTTTTTTTGTTTTTTTTGCTCTAGACGTAGAAAAATAATCAGTTGATTCATGTTTTTTAAAAAGGTCGTGGAATTTAATTTGAGCTAAATTTATCTAATTTCCAAGAAGGTTCAATTATGAATCATATACTCCCTCTTTTAATACATTGGTTGCACTTGCTTTGTAAAAGCTTTGCGGACAATTTTTTTCCTCTCTTCAACTCAATATTTTTTTGGACGTTAAAAGTCATCACACTTAAGAAGTACAAGCAGTGCGACTCAGCTACTCCTCTCTCACAATTGAAGTCTAGTTCTATTCTTTTTTATCAAATAAAGGTCCCCTAGGCCCCGTATGGTACAAGGAATTCAAACTATGAAATTGGAATTGAGGACTTCAATTCTGATTATGGTGTTTGGTAGCACAAAAAGTATGTGGATTTGGAATTGATAGTGCAAAGAATGAATTGGAGTTGGTGAATTCAATTCTATGGAATTGAATT